GCTATAATGGAATCAAAAAGGACAACCTCTAAATGAGCCCTCAGATTGAATTTGAAAATGGGATGTAATAGATTCTAAGGGTATGTGAGTTCCAGTATGTTTGGTTTGAGAGACAGATGAAAAGTTTCACTCTGCCATAGTGTGGGTCAAAAGTGATTTATGTCAAGAATTGCTTCTCCCTGGAAGCACTCACATTTTTTTTTTGAGGATTCCAACAGATGGATCCCACAAGAGCCATTAGATGCAAAATAAAAGGTATAATTAGGAAAGTAAATTTAAATTCCATCTGATACTTATAGAGATAAGAGGAAAAAAATGTATTTACTGCGTTGTATATTTAAACATTGGCTGATTTTTCTGAACTAGTTTCTCCTGAGCATGCCACTAAAATAGTTTATTTTTCCCCCAATTATTAGGCTATACAACTATCAGATTTATAAATATGAGAAAACCTTTAGTTTTTGAAGTATAAAGCAGAAAAACTGGCTAGAACTGTATAGCATATGGATAAATCAGAGGAATTCCTTCCGATCTTTACTAAAAATAAACTATTTTGAGAACCATTCTGGAGTCTTTAGTACAAATTGATTTGAATATGCAGTTGAACAAATTATATTTTTCAAAGGATGAAACTTGAACTTGCAATGCATCTGGGAGAAGGTTTGAAGAAATGTGTTCTTAAAGTTTTTGTGACAACCCATATTGGGTCCCCTCTTGACCCTGAGAGAGTTTTGTTTCTCTTCTTTACACTTGAATAAATCCTACTCCTTTCATGTTTGGAGAGGAAAAAAGATTTGAAATTGGAGGCACTCAGAAGAATTTTTTTTTTTCTTGTGACAGATGATTTCCCAGAAGACATTACATCTTTTAGGGATTATTATATATACTTTCCCAGCTAGAGTCTCTGCATTTATACAGAGGCACTCTGGTTAAAGAGCAGTTCTCCAGGATATTTCACCAATAAGATAGTATGTTCATCTCGTTCATGGGCAAATGCCTATGGGAAACTGACAAAGGAAGGAACCAGTGCTGCCACCCAAGTACCCAGACACACAGATGGCCTGATATTTCTGTGTCCTTAGGAGAGCTGGTTGTGATAAACTGGGGGCAGAATTCCCAGACTGAGGCACATAGGAAATGAATGTTGCCAGCTCAGGTTAGACAAACAGCAAGATCCCTAAATTAATGATCCAATGATAAGCTGATAAACAATGGTCCTTAGACAACGCAACAGCGCTCACTTTTAGATAATCATGAATGCAACCTGGCCTATTATTTGGTGTAAAAATGTTTTCCTTAATTCTTGTGATATTTGCAAAGCCATGCATTTTTCAGAAAATGCAAGTATCCAACCTACAAGGAAAGGAAATGCATTCTTTTCCCTGGCAGCTTCCCTTCAACCTAAAATATGTGTGAATGCTGAGAAGCTGCTCCCGCTAATCTTTATTGAAATCATACTTCTTTTCCCTAGATTGAACATCATATTTATGCCCAAGGCCTGAGCAGCCCACCCCTTTCTTCAAGTGTGGTTCAGAGAACTGATGGGTGATTCTGTCATATGATATGTCTATGTTGTGGGTTTAAATTGCCTCTCAGATTTAATTTGTATATTTGTTTTCTATTGGACATCAGTTTCTGTTAGTATATTAGTCTCCACTGCATTTTTATTTCCATTGGTTATATAACAAATGATCAGGGACTCACAACAACAACCCCTTATTATCTCACCACTCTGGAAGCTCAGCTGGGGCTTTGCCTGGGATCTCTTGAGGTGAGATCTAGGCAGCTTACCTGGGTAAGAAACTACCTCTAACCTCATTCAGATTGGTAGGATCTGGTTGCTTGTAGTTGTAGGGCTAAGGCGTGTTCCCTTGATGGCTGTCAATGAGGTGCTGTTTTGCTTTTGTATCCTAAAGGACCCCTTCCCATTCCTAGTGATATGGCTGCCTCAGTGTTCATACCAGCAGTGGCTGGGCAAAATCATGTCATCCTTTGAATCCCTCTGGTTTTTCCTTCTGTCACCAGTCAGAGAAATTTCTCTGCTTTCAGGACTCCTGAGGGGTCCATTGTGCCAGATAATATGACCCACACAATTGGGAGTGACATCCTCTCATAGGTTCTAATTAGGGGGCATGGAATCTTGGATGGGGCATCTGTCTCAGTTGTTCTTTCTTCCTCTATTTACCATGATTTGTTCCTAATTTTCCATATTTAATATCAGTGATAGCAACTTTTGTACCAAAAAAAAAAAAAACCCATTCATACCTACTAATTTTGATAGAATCATAGAGGTTGTTTTACTATATTAAAGAATATTAAACTTTATGTTTCCTGTGGAATTCTGCTGCACAAGGGATAATTCCTGTGAGCAAGTATATAAGTAGAATCTCACTATGGCTTTGCTAATACTATAATCTCTTTTAAAAACCTTTCAATAGTCATTTTCATTGGCATGTCTTTCATTAAAAATCCTGTTGATGTCTTTGTGTTCTCTATGTCACTGACTGGGTGGGTGGTTGCATACTTCATCAGAAAATCAGAAAGGCAGGAATAAGGCGCTTTTTTTTTTTTTTTTTTTTGGTACTAGAGATTGAACTCGGGAGCACTTGACCACTGAGCCACATGCCCAGCCCTATTTTGTATTTTATTTACAGACAGGGCCTTTTACTAAGTTGCTTAGCGCCTTGCCATTGCTAAGGCTGGCTTTGAACTCACAATCCTCTTGCCACAGCCTCCTGAGCCACTGGGAAGCTCTTTATTTTTAATGCTCAGGCACAAGGGAGACAGTGTATAGAGACAAGAAATCCCAGGCTGACTCGAGCAGAGGATCAAAGCTGTACAGGTTTATGGCATCGATGTAATCACATGTAGGGGTGGGGTTTTAGTTTCTGATCATGCCTCTTCATGGGAGTGTCTTATTACCACCTGAAGACTCTGCCTTGGGGTATGTTTTACTATGTGTGGAAAGGTAACTGCAGTTATTTTACTAACTGTTCTACCCAAGCATTTTCCCCTCCTCACCTGGAATCTGCCCTTTGTCATCTGGGAGAGTCCCTAATATTATTTTTTAGAACAAGCCAGACTATTGGCCTCAGTGGGTTGATTTGGTCTGGCCCTGGCTGCTTAGTATCTTGGCTCACAGTCTCAAAAAAGGCTGCGTTGACCTCTCTCAACCTCTCATCTTCTGTGTGTTATCTTAATTCCATAACCTTAAAGACTGGTACACATTTTAGTTCCTAACTTTCTGGGATGTCAGCTAACTCCATAAAACTGAGAGCCAGCTTGGCTGTCTCCGTTGTTCTTTCTTTCTCTGATCATCCTATTTTTTTTTTTTTTCCTCTTTTTTTGAGACAGGATCTCGCTAAATTGCTGAGGCTGGCTTTGAACTCAAGATCCTCTCGCCTCAGCCTTCCAAGCTGCTGGGATTACAGGCATGTGCCACCACACCCAGCTTCTCTGATAAAGTCTTTATCTGCCCTTTGAAGTTTAAAAATCTATTGGGGTATTATTTTCTAAATCCCTTCACTAGGAATTGATATATTTTTTTTTTTAACTAAAGAGGCCGTCTTTTGAAAACTATATATCATATATGTGATGGTTAATTTCATCTGTCAGCTTGGCTGGGCCATAGTTCTTCCCAGTTATCTGGTCAAACCTCAGTTTGGATGTTGCTGTGAAGGTCATTTTTTTTTTTAAGATGTGACTGACATTTGTAATTGGTAGGCTTTGAGTAAAACAGATGCCCATTCACAAAATGGGTGGGTCTCTCTCACTCTGCTGAAGGTCTTAGATGACTGAAATCCTCTGAGGAAGAGGGTTTTGCCTCCAGCTGGCCTTGGCCTTCCAACTGCAGCTGCACCCTCAGCTCCTCCCTGGTCTGTGCCCTGAAGAATTCAGATTTACCATCTGCAACAATGTGAACGGGTTCCTTAAAATAAATTGTTTCAACGTCCCCAATACACACAAGAGTACACTCTCATACCCACACCCTTCGTGTTCATGTCTCTCTGGAGAACTTTAATACAAATCAAAGAAAATACAACTCCACAGATTTCTCCATGACAACAGTGGAAGCAACCCCTCACCATTCCAGTTAAACTTTCAAACCTTTGAAAGGAATTAACCTATCCACTGGTAAGTGTGTGCTCAATGTTTATCTTTGAAGGGAGATGAAATAATTGACAGGTGGAATTCAAGTGAATTTATACCTATTGATTCCTGAGCTAAAGGAATTTCTGAAAAAGTCTGGAAAAGCTGTATTCTCCTTCAGGATACTCTTAAATCCAAGAAGGGTTTGTGAAAAACAAAGTGGGGATTCTATATTAAATTTGAAGCATTATCAGCATAAAATAAGTATCTTAGTTGTGAAATGCCAAAAAATAAATACCAGATAAGAACAGTGTGGAATTAGGAGTGGGCTGATGGGAAAAGTTAATGTTTAGTCTGAGTAGGGTTGTTATGGTTTGGATATGAGGTGTCTCTCCCAAAGCTCCTGTATTAACACAAGAAATAAAATTATTAGATTCTGAGAACTATAACCTAATCAGTAGCTTAATCCATTTGGTGGATTAATATTTTGAATGGATTACTGAATGATAACTGCAAGTAGGTAGGGTATGGTTGGAGGAAGTGCATCACTGGGAGTGTGAATTACAGAAGATATATTTTGTCCCTGGCTCCCTGTACTGTCTACTTCCTGGCTTCATGAGGTGAGAGCTTTCCTTCTGCCAGGATGCTATCTCATCTCAGGCCCAGAACACTGGGGTTAGCCAACCATGGCCTGAGACCTCTGAAGCCAGCCGTGAGCCTGAAATAAACTTCACCTCCTCTACATTGTCGTGTCAGTATTTTGGTCACAGTGTTGAAAATCTGGTTAACACAGGGTCACGGAATACTCAATATTTTGCATAAAAAAATTATTCCTTGAAAGTATGTGAAAGAGCCAAGAGTGTCTTAAAACATCCACACAACCATTTATTTTTCAATTGAAATGATCACAATTTAGTCAAGCAATTTTTCCTTTATTTTTGTTAAATAAGACTCCAGAAAGTATAGTGCAAACACTCAGTAGAAAAGTTGCAATTAAGAAATGTACATTCACATTTAACATTTCAGTCCATTCACTGTTTCTTTAAAATAAAAATAGGACAAATTATTCAATTACTTTTCTCGATTTAACAATCTTGAAAAAGACTGGAAGGTGCTCTACAGTGTTCAGTTGACATAAAAATAGACCCGTATTGATTATACAAATCTATCATGAGAAGTTACCCAGTGAGATTGAGTTATTGTGATTCTGAATATAATCATTGTGTTCTCATGTCTACAGAAGCATCCTCAGTGAGTTTATTGTGTGGGAGAAAAGGATCCCTTGCCAGTGCCACTCTTTATCTCACCGAGAGATGCAACCCTCTCTAGCCAAACACAGGGCATAGGAGCTTACATGACTTTTCTCAGCAAGTAAGAAAATCCAGAGGTGGGCTTTGGACTTACCTTAAATCAGAATGGAATTACTGCTGAGATGGTCATGATAATGACATTTCCATTTGTGGAAGTTGGAGTGCAATCAATATAAATGAGAGGATAGTAGAAAGGGAGTTTGGGCTGAAAGGAGACGGTGCATACTAAGTACTCGAGCTACACAAAGCTCAGGTTCCATGGGACTCACCCTGGCTCACCGGGGTGCTCTGCACCTAGCAGGCAGATGACTCAGGGGCAAGCCTGAGCGCATGCTGCATGATTTCAAATTCAAACTGAGTTCTACACAATTAGGAATTTCACAGCATGCAATTTCAGAGTGCAAATGGCTTGCATATACGCAGTTTTAACAGGGATGAAGGCAACACAGAGGGCCCCTCCACACCGGGCATGTGTGCTCCTGGTGATCAGTTGGGTCCACAATCCCGGTGTATGCTAGAGGTGCCGTGGGCGTCCTTGGGATCCCCACAATGTGGGAATGGTCCCCTGAGACTTGTGCTTCATGTGCCCGGGGCCCGGAGTTGAGTGGTGGTTGCTGGTGGGAGGCAAGAAACAAGTTCTGGCTGCTGTCGGGCCAACTTCTCACTGCACCTGCTGCAGGAGGTGGACACCCACAGCATGCTCTGAGCCAGCTGTTCCTGCACAGACGTTCTGCACAAGTTTATTAAGTGCAGGATTTCATTTATATAGGCTCTGCAGTTGGTCTAGGATGTCTTTTCTGTTTACACATTAATTCTCAAATAAATGGCTGAAAGCGGTTTTGGAAACCAACACTCTCAGAGTCTGTACTGCTTGGTACCAGTAGAAACCAACACCCATGAGATGGTCAGGGCCCCTGGAATTGAGTATTTGCCAAACCTCTCACCATCCATCGTAAACCCTTCCTTGCCTTACGAATGCTCCTGGGGAGATCCATTTTTCATACATCCTCCAATCCCTGGGAAGGCACCTTGACCTCCTACACTGCACCAATAGCACATGAACAATACTGAATGGTTCCACAGCAGAGGAAGAGGAGCAGAAATGGCAAAGGCAACCTAAGCCTTCCCAGTGCTCATGAAACTCCTCCCCAGCAACTGGAGCCTGGCAGGCTGGGTGTAAGTAGTTTGGGGGTGCTTGGGGAGGAGGAGCTATACTTCCCTATTTGATGTCAGAGAGGCCTTCCAGAAAAAAACAGCTGTCCTCCCTGTTTAAGGAGATTCTGTATCATTTCAGATATGACAGGTTGTGCTCCAAAAGAGCTATAGAAGTTAAAGGACAATATCACAAGGTAGAAAGGTGTTTCTTTTTTTTTTTAACCCCCAAATCTAACACTTTATTTCCTTGCGGGGGATCAGTAATGTTAAAGAAGAAATATGGTTTAGCCAAGAGGAATTACAGGCTCTAACTGAGCAACAAGAAGCCAAGGACTTCAGAGCCAATGTGTCTTGGACACATGCTCCTAGGACGTGAATCAGAGTAAGACTTGCCCATGGAAGAGCATCCTAAGCAGGGTCTCCTCCTTCATGCTGGACACAATTGTGTGGACAAGATAGTGTTTTCCATCAATTGCAGATTTTAATGTTAGTAAGTCCTAAATGTAACAGAAAACAGAAGGGCTTGAGATGGGGACAGAACAAGAGTTGAGGTCTGGCCCTGCCTCTCAAGGCTGTGTGGCACTCTCAACTCCCTAACCTGTGGGGCTTGGATTCTCCACGGACAGCAAGAATATCATCATTCCATCCCTTCCACAGGCAGAAGGTACCCACTGACTGAAAAGTCAGATTTGGGAACTAGTAATGAATGTGTTAATTTGTGGTCATACCAAAAGGCCCTCTGGAGACCCGTTTTAACTAGACAAAGAGTGATGCTTGCCCTTCCTGTGGTTGAGTGCAGAACATAGTTAATCTAGTGACCTGTTGCAAGAAATTTAGTAATTTCACAAAGGATAAAGAAATTAGATCTAAAATAAATAAAGCCTGTCAAGATGGAGAACATGGGGTCAGGCCATATGGTGACTACTGTGGTTGGTTTTCTGATGTTTGTTTTTCAGCTAGGAGTGAGCCACAACCCAACAAGGCCACCTGTCTGTTGCTGGAGAGATTGGTGCTGACATATCCTGTTAGGAAGACCTGGCTTCCAAGTCGCTCTGTAATAGGAGGATGGGGTGCTTGTTGATGGTAATCAAGATTCAGCCCCCAATTGGCTCCGCATTTGAAATTCCTGCTGTATATCCACCCTGAAGTCCCTCCACAGATCCACATACCACTGTGTGTGGGGGAGAGAAAAAAAAACCCCGAAAATAACCAACAAAAAGAAATAAGGAGCAATTTAGTGCTTCAATATATCTGGACCTTAAGTACTGATATAGTAGAGACTTTTTTTTTTTTTTTTTTTTTTTTTTGAGATGGGGTCTTACTGTGTTGCCCAGGCTGGCCTTAAACTTGTAATTCTCCTGCCTGAACCTCCTGAGTAACTGGAGATTACAGGCTGTCATCTCACAGAAGCTCAGGGACCATGTGGGTATCGCTTAGGGTCTGGGATGCCCCTGCCTTCCTCCCTCTGATGAGTGTTTTCTGACAAATCAAGTAGGGACTCTAAGTGGTGGCCACCTGGCTGTATTCCATTTTAATTTTGTTCCTTGTATGAATCAATCCCAAGAATGAATAATTGATTTTTATTTTTTTAATGCTATATGACCTACATGCCCACACGTGCACAGGGGCACACACTAACTAAGCATGGCCTCTAGTAGAATCATTGCATCTTCTAAGATAGTGAACAGGTCCAATATGCAACATAACAGATACATATTTTTTTCAAGGAAACTTAAAACTACACATATCTGAGTCATTATATGATGGGTATGTTGCTGAGGGACATCTAACCCCAGAATGTAGCATCTGAAATTGGATCTGTGGTGTTTATGGGATAGACCATGGAGGTGACCAATCTCCTCACATCCTTTTCCTATACCTTCACTGGCCTTCACTAAGATGTGAACATACAGGAGGATAAGGCAGGAAATCCTCAGATACTTTCCAAAGTGTCCCCTGAGGATCCTCGAGTGAGGCAGCCCCTGCAGAGCTCTAACACCCTGCCTACCCCGATGCAGGGTTGTGCTTACAGAGTAGCTGACCCTTTGTGAGGGAACAGCCGCAGGGCCCAGGGGCTCCCTTCCACACATCTCCACCCCACCGGCAGAATGTCCAGCAACACAGGGCCTATGGCTTCCAGGTAGAGGCCCTACACAGCTCTCACCTGCCAACAGCGGGGGCCCAATCACACAAGTCCACATATGGAAATTCACAACTTGGAGATCATTCCTTCTGCTGAGCCCTACACACTAAGCCTTCCAGAATCTCCTTGGTTCTGTCCCCACTTTGTCCTCCAGGACAGGGAGCAGGTGCTCAGGCCTTCTGACCCCCTGCCTCCACCCAGGAAGGCTTCTGGCTTCAACTTCTCAGCCTCTGACTCAGTCAGCTGGAAATAGACTCTGGTTGACTTAATGGGCACAATGAGAGAGTGAGATGGCACGAGACTGAAGCAACTCGTTGGCTCAGGCCTTCCCATCAAATGTGGGGTAGGCAGGGAGAAGTCTCACTCGAGGTACCAACTCATATACCCAAACAACTTCTGGCACAGTAATCATTCTGTGTGCTTTGGATTAAACTTTCCATGCCCAGGCAAGCCGGGAATGGCTCCCCAATCCTTCCTGCTGAGCTCTGGGCCCTGCCACCTCCTGCAACAGGCCCATGAATCTAACTTAAGTCCAGTCCCAGGCAGCTCTTCTAACCCCCCAGCTAAAGAGCCATGAATGCAAACACAGACCTCACTCAAGGTATCATATGAAGAAACAATCCCACTTCCATTATCCATTCCGTTCTCAAACCTGGAGTTCTGAATGAAAACAAGGACCTATTGGTCAGTTGAACTTTCAAAGCATACTGTAGCTAGGGAGGCAGCATGTCCCAGGGTCCGGAGAAAAAGTTATGCCATGCAACATCCAGGCTGCCAGAATGTGGCCCAGTCAGTTTGCTCTTTATTTATTTTACTGAACCAAATATTTTGAAATCCAGTTACCTCTATGAAGGATTGTGTGTGTGTAATTTTTTAAAAATTGAAGTCATTACTAAACCATGTTTCTGGAGGGTTACTTTATATACAGCCATCAAATCTGCAGGTTTTCAGAACTTTAAGTACTACTAGCACTTCTGGGACCTCTTGTACTGTAAGATGTACAATATATGCAAGCATGTTCTTTCTTTTTCTGTAACATGCACAGTTATGGGTGCACACTTGCTTTATAAACCATGCATGTCATTGGACAGGCCCTGCATGGGTTGTGAACAAGATACCTGGGATTTGGGGAGTTCCAGAAACCTCCCTGCTGGAGCAGTGACAGGTGCACGTTCCCAGGTGAAGCCCTCCACACACCCTTCATTTCACCAATCCAAACCACTTCCTTCTTAAGTGGCCCATTAAAGCAAGCAGTCTATACAATCTTTCCAGGTTACTATAAGGATGATGGCACAGACTTTCTGTGAGATACAAATAAAACACAGAGTCACTTAAGGTTAGCCACATCCTGCCAAGCACTGAATTCTCCACATCAATCAAAGCGCCCCAGCCTTTCCTGCTGTACAGTTGTATTCATCCAGGGAAGACAGGCATCCTGCCCTGAGGGCTCTTCTCTTGCCAGTAGGTCAAGTGCAAGGTGAGGAGAGCACCCTTCCAGACACCATCACTTTTTAAAAAATGGGATACCGTAGGTAAGCCTTGAAATGTTATTCTTGAATGCTCTGCTAGGACAAACCATGGAGCTTACCACCCTCCGTCACATGAGACCAGCGTTGACATTCAAGAATCAGAAGAGAGTTTGGATGGGGGCTGGTGCCCTCACTCCTCCTTCCTCTCCTGACCAAAAGTGTGGGGACTTAGGTTAGATGCTAGATTGATCTGCTCACCTGCCTGGGGAGTGAGCTCAACCCTAAGAACTAGGTTGCCAAAGCTGGGTCCTCAGAAGGTTGGGGGCTTTGGGAGTGGCAGTCCCCCACAGCAAACTTGTATGCATGGCTTATCTGAATTATCAATCTGCTCAAGCCAGACTCGTCTCTACAGTATAGAGTTACAATTATTGCTTCTATGACAGAAGGGGTCCGGAAGCCCTGGAGGCTTAGAGTTTGAGAAACACGGGCTGGCAACTGGGTTGCTGGGTGTAAGGAGTGGACTGGCCTGGGTTGGCGTAGCCTGTGGAAGCATTTGGAAGCATTCTGGGGCTGTGTTCTACTCTACAGTGTCAGGCACGGGAGGCATGCGAGGGTTCGGAAGGGAACACGCAGGGTCATTTCCCAAGGGCCACGGCATCACCGTGCAGGGGTTGATGTGGGTGCCGGGCTTTTCCTCATTTTTGGTACAAGTGAACAGGCAGCACCTGTAATTGGTGCACTATATACAGAGCATCTTAAAATAAATAATTTAGAGAAGAATCCTACCCGAATGGCTCTACCATTTGTACATGAATATTGTACAAGATTAAAAATAAATAAGGCAATATAATACAGTTTTATCACAAATAAAAAGGAAGTTGATTTTCACCAAACCCCAAGGAACATTATGGCTAAATGTGTTCCTGACCTCACAGGAAGTAGACAGGGTTTGGAATTGCTGATGATGGAGGAGATGTCTGCCCCTGATGTAGAGACTCCACCAAGGCTGCCACGTGGTCCACTTCAGAACAGTCCTATGCCCAGAGAAGGTAGCATCGTCCCCTGTAGTGGCTTCCTTTGAACCCGACCATACCTCAAGGGCTTTGTCACACACCCATCAGATTTCATGGCTTTGTGCACAAACTCATGACCATAAAGCACTATGGACCTCAGCTAGGACACAGTATGGCTGGTTGACTCGACTCAGAGTCACACAGACCAAGTCCAGGTGTCCTCAGGTTAGGATCCTGCTGATGGTTCTGTCTCCTGCTCATTCAGGCTGTTGCCAAGTTCATCTCCGGTGGCTGTGGGAGCAACATCCCTGCTTCTTTGTTGGGTGGGGTTGTTCTCACGTTCAATCACCAGTGTTGTCTTGTGGCGCCTCATGTTTAAGCCAGCAATGAGGGTTCAGTCATGGTCACACTCTAGTCCCCTCATCCATGTCTGCAGGGCCCTGTGCTGCAGCCAGCCCACCCAGACAGTCTAGGACCCTTTCCAATTCTCAGGCTCCTAACCTTAATTCCATCTGCAACGTCCCTTTTACTATGTAACAGAACACACCCTTAGGACCCAGCACCAGTCAGGGTGTGGGCATCTTTAAAAGCCACTCCTCTGTGCCTAACCTAGATGGCCCCATTGGGCAGTAGCACTGGAGGGCCAGAGCTATGTAGGGGAGACATGAACTAGGACCTAGCTATGTGGGCCTGTGGGTCTGGGGACAGTACCACAGCCATAACAGGAGGAGTAGGGCAGCCTCCCCACAGCCTACAGAGCCCAAGACAACAATGTATTTGCTCCTGTGTGTGCTCCTGTCTGAACTGACTGCCTCAAATCTGGTTAGGAAAGATGAGAAAATCCTAGTGGAAAAGGAGATGGTAAGGATGACCCATTTGTCCCAAAGACAGGAAAGCGTGGGAGCAGACATGAGACAGGGCTGATAATGAGTGGTGGCAGGGTGCCCTACAGGTTCTCAGCCCTGTGGCTGGCTCAGGTGGATAAAAATGCCTGTCCTCAGGAGCCCTCAAAGCACATTCCTATAAACATGATCTCTGATGACAAGGAGAGGCCCCCGAGAGTATCTCCTCCTGCCCTCCGCCTCACAGGAACAGCCTCCACCTGCACATAGTGACACCAAAACACCAGGCCCACAAGAATCAGAAACGACTACATAAGGACAAATTGCCTATTCTCCATCCCCAATGTCTGTAGTGAGGTCCTGGGGGTCAGTTTGGCCCTGGCCTGTGAGTTCCTCATCTCACCCTGGAGAAGGTGCCAGGAAGACAGCAGATCTGGTCAGAGTCTCCTGCAGGAGGAACTGGAGGCCATATGCCTGCTCCCTGCACCATCACAGAGTCACGAAAGGACAGTCCTCACAGCCCCACCAGGTCACCCGTAGTCCAGGGCCTCAGGTACATGGGGACCCTGAATGCAGTTCCATCTCCTACTGTCCCCTGCCCAAAGCTATTCACTCTGCCCACCTCTGTCCTAAGTCCTGCCTCAACTGAGTCCTGTCGAGACAGGTAGTCAGCTTGCCCCAAGATCATCACACCAGCTGGCCCACAAAGCTTCAGCTATGGGCAAGGCCCCTGTTGCCACTGCACAGTCACACAACTGAGCTAGGGCTGAGCTAAAGGGCGCTGCCCATACGCAAGTCTGCACCTCGGGGAAGGAAATCTGGGCTTTTCTCTGCTCCTATCCTGAAAAGCTGAGATCCCTAGGAAGTAGGGAGAGTCCCTGGGAGCAGTGCAGAGAGGGACCCCCACAGCCATGAGTAGGACAAGATTCAGGTCACATAAACCTTTCGGAGCTACAGGTCTCTAGACATTCACCAACCAAGGCACTGGCCTAGAACCTCTCCCCCTCCCCCACCACCATATTTCAAGCTGCCTGTGACAAGGTCAGAAGTCTACAGGAGCCAAATCTTCCAGTTATTTCTGGCCTGTCCATTCCTATCTACCGACTGGCTCTCCTGGACCCTGTTCCTCACATCCTTCATCTTCATACCCATCACAACCATTAAGCACAGGTGGGAGGTCCCAGATGTCAACAGGACCACCTTCAGCTGATTTCCTTGCACACTGGAGCAGGGGCACCTGGACTCAGGACCACAAACTCTGCTAACCTTACGACCACCCACCTGCTCCAGGAGGGCTGGTTCTGTCAGAGAAACTATGCCTTCCATCAAGGAAGCTGGCTTGTGGTGTGACGGTCCCTCGTTTTCAACACCAACGGAACCTTGATTGTAATGTACAGGGTCCAAGTCACCAGGGCTTAGGCAAGGCATGATGCTCACCCCTCTCTCCTTTGGATACATAGCCATGGTGCAGTAAGAGGAACATCCAGCTGTCACAGGAGCCTGAGCTGGCAGGTGGGGCAGGGGGAGAATGCACAGGCGGAACAAGCAGCTGGTGCTGGCCCATGATGGAGTGGGGCTCTGGGGCCCCCTGACGGTTCCAGAAGGCCTGCCTCTGGCTTCTGGTAAAATCCTGCTCATGAGAAAAGCCAGCAGCCTTCACTCTCCATGCAATGAGAGGCAGCTTCTCGATTCTTTCCAGACTGTCCTGTTCAAGACCTGACCAGCTCTGTGCTGTGTCCACAGTGTGAAGAGCTCAGCCCTTATGGCCCTGCCCCACAGTGCTGACTTCCCAGTGCAGTTCTTGGAGCTGCTGCCCAGGGCTGGGGCTGTCCACAGCCAGGATCCATCACAGCCAGATTGCCATGGTGCCAACTCAGGGCTCACTGATGATGGATTCATCTGTCACTCTGCCAGCCAGAACTCCATGACTCTTGTTGTGTTCCTCACAGATATTCTGAAGGTCCCGGCATCGATGGTGACACTGGCCAGACCTGGGTAGCTACACTGGGAAGAGGCAGGGCTTCCCTATGCCCCAAAGGGGTGGCTTAGGCACATCTCCTATTGACTCTCAGGTCCCACCTTGAAAATGCTCTTTCTCCTTCCCGGTCACTGTCTTCCTGTTCTGCTCATCTGGATGGTCCTGACTGGAGCCAAGGTGGCCTGTGTCACCCCGGAGCATTCTTGCCCTGCATGCACCTCCAGAGGCCAACGTGAGTTCGGTTAAGCTTCCTTCCCCGCTGCTGCAGGTGGCAGGTACTGGCCTGTGGGAACTGGGGGGAGCCCTGCCCTGATTGGTGGGCCTGCTGCGGGACACAGTGGGGGCCGTCTGGCCTGGCCTCCAGCTCTCCCATAAGCACACATCTTGCGCTCCAAGTGAAGAGGCCTGGGGTGGGAGCCATTTCCATCAGTCCTGCCTTCTAGGAAGTACGTCAGCATCTCCCCCTTGCCTTTGACACTGACTTTGCCTCGGCACACAAAATGGTAGGCACACTTTCTCAGCAGCCGGTGCACCTCCTCAGTCACCTGTCATAAGGAGAAGCCAGGTTATTCTCAGTCATAAGCAGTAAGCGGGGGTCCTCTGGGGAATGGGATCCCCAAGTGCACCTTTCCATCCTGTATCTCTCACTTCCCACCCTGACTGCATGAACCTGGTGGAAGCCTTGGGACAAGGAGCTATGCCTTTAGTTGCCAGGGTTAGGGTACAGCTGTCTCCAGGGTTCTGGGAGTAGGGGTCACTAGAATATAGAGGGCAGAGGCAAATTGTCAGGAGAAAACAGGGTCATCTCTTAGCTCCCCTTTTTATCAAGTCTCTAATCAGAATTTTACCCCCAAGAATTCCTGTCTCACAAAGTCAGAGAGAGGATAAAAGATGAGAAGCACTTTCTCTTCAATAGAGTCATGTGAACAGCATAGGACAGGATCCCTACTTCGTCTTGGAGCCACCTCTCTCCCTCCGTGGCCACCACCATCTTTTTAGTTAAAACAATGCAATCTGCCACAAGCTACCTTCTCATGTCCTGGCAGAGCTGGGGTGGGGGCCCTGGCATTAGTTACCAGGATGCCTGGGCAGGGGAGAGAGGACAGAGGCCCTAGGTGTAGGGGAAGCTGTGGGTGGACGGTTGCACCCAGGCAAGGGGAGATGAGGCCATGGGAGGCTCAGATATCATTCTAGAAACACAGAATCAGCAACACTGACATGGGGCAGTGGCCTGCCTGAAGATAGGGCAGGGCTGCTTGAAATTCTCCTTGGGGAGTGACCAGCTTTAGGAAGACTACAGAAGAATGGAAGCCAGAGGTCATGGTAACAAAGTACTGAGCACATCCTAGAGAGGGACGACAGTGAAGGCTGAACAACTATGGGAGAGTACTTAATGCCACTCAGCTGTGCTCTTACACATGGTTATGACAGTACATTTTATAATAATAAATAAATCTTAGGAAAAATTTTTTAAAAAAAGTAATAATGCAGAAGTACAGAGATGTTCTGTGCATGTTCCAGACAGGAGAGGAAGTACCACAAAGATTTTGGCTTACCTATTTTTTTTTTCTTTTTCTGAGGGAAGTGGTATACAGAGCATTGAACCCAGGGGTACTTGACCACTAAACTATATCCCTAGTCCTTTTGAAGTTGCTAAGGCTGGTCTCATACTTGATCCTCCTGCTTCAGCCTCCCTAGTCACTGGGATTACAGGCATGTGCCACTGTGCCTGATTGGTCTATTTCTTAAAACTGTGGAACCCAACAACCAACCAAAGCACCCGACCTTGAGATGTTGCCCAATAAATGCTCGTCAGAGAAACATCTGAGCCCTGCCTGGCGGCCTCTTCAACTGAATGAGGATATGCTGGCTGCTGCCCTGGATGCTGAAACTTGGTGTCTTATTTGTGGAGCCAATGCTTGCACCTCACGGTCATCTGCAGGATGACCCAGTGAGGCTTTGTGGTAAGGTGAAGGACCAACACCCAGTGGGATGCAATACAGTGACAGCTGTCACTGAACTGAGTCAGACAACCCTCCCATGGCCCAGCCACAGCAGGAGAGAACCAGCCCTAACTGTCAAGTGCCCTCTGTTCCCTTCCCCATTCCATAGTGAACAGATCAATCATGCTCTGGGGGTGCCTTCAGGCCTGCAGTGCCCAGGTCAGGTGGCAGGAGGGCTGGCCCACAGGGCCTTATCCAAGTAGGCATCAAGGCCAGGTTTCATGTTACTCTAAGGGGAATCCTAAAGGCACTCCTTCCCCCCACTGCCTTTTTGTCCTTTCAGTGGTTCTTAAAAGATGTCACAGCCCCTTCTGAGTTGTCCAGAAGTTCCTCAGATATGGAGGCATGTACCCTGACCTTCAAATTCAGGTAAAACCCTTCCCTCCTATGGCAGCCAGGCAGAGCCCAGGTCCTGAGACAAGAGAGGAAACTGAGCAATTAGGCTGTCAGGATTAGTGCATGGCCCTGACCCCATAACTCACTGTGATCCCCAACTCTCTACCTGCTCATTCAAAAGTCACCCACAAGGCAGCACAAACAAATCAAATACCAAAATCAAATTGCCAAGGCGGAACTGTAACCCTCCAGACACTGAGCTATGCAGTACCACTTACGGGTCGCATATGTCGGTCCCCCCTCGGCCCTCTATGCCTCAGTTTGAGCATTGCATCTTGGGAATTTGTGGGTGAACTTACCTGGATTCTGCCCTGGACTCCGGTGCTGTCCATCCGACTGGCCACATTGACCGTGTTTCCCCAGATGTCATACTGGGGCCTGCGAGCACCAATCACTCCAGCCACCACAGGGCCAACATTGATACCTAGAAAACAGTCACGTATGGCCCTGTGGTCAGCTGGAAAAGTAGGACTCACTGGCTGGGGCCACCCAGTGCGTTTAATGAGGTCCTCAGTGGAGAAAAGCTGCCCCCTTCTAGGTCTTGCTCTATCCTAAAGCAGAACTCCTCCAGACTCACAGAGGGGCAGCAGCAAGTCCTTCCTGCCCAGGGCTCCCAGGTGGCCTGTGGGCAGTCCCCTCACAAAACCCTCCACTGCTATTTGCAACAGCACTGTCAGAAATAATTCCTAATCCCAAAGAAAAGCCCAGGTCCTGCAATACTGGCTCTTGTGTGGAATTGTACTCTGGAGCTACCAAAAAATCTGACTGCAGTTTCTCCTGAACTTTTCTCAGGGTACAATGCTGCAACTATTTCAGCGCATGGGTCATAGAACTAAGCATGATAATTCAGATGCTCTGAGGGGAGGCTATGGAGGCCCCTCTCTTTCTGCAGCGTGGGGTCCAGCTGGCCTCTGAGCACATGTACTCCTGGAAAGTGTCACTAGGTCCAGGTGCACCTGAGTCTGAATCACCCTTGTGAGACTTCTGGCAAAGTGCTTACCTTCTCTGGGCCTGGGTTTCCTTCCCTGTAAATGGGGCACAAAACTTCTTGTGTTGCCCTGGCCTAGCCTTAGGCAGGACAGTCATGGGATTCATCACAGCCCACTGGCACTGTCCCAGAGACCAAGTCTGATAGGAGCAGATGCCACATCTTATCTTCCCTTCTTTCTGTGCTTATGAACCTATTTTTATGTCAACTCTGGACACCTCGTCCTAGGTGGAGGAGATTGAGTTGGGACCAGCCTGTTGGGCAGTACGACTGCAAGGGCTGCTGACCACGGCATGTCTTCCTTTGTGGGAGATGAAGGAACAGAATCTCTCCAACCCACCACCAAATCTGATTCTGGTTACATCAGTACTTCTAGTGACTGGAGCCCAAGGCTCAAGAGGAGGCCCAGATGCTAGGGAGGAGGGGTGGTGGCTGACCCTTCCCCTACCTTCAGGCTGGACATCATGCTAAAACAGAACTTGGCATCTAAGGACATCAGCTTTCCATGACTATGAAGTATATAAAGGCCTCCCTCACACTCAAGCATCACCCAAGTTTGTTTTAAAGGCCACTAGATATTTGAATTATAGGACAACCATAAAAACCTCTAGTTTAACTGCATACTAGACTAGAAGAAAGGAAGGAAGGAAGCAAGCAAGCATTTGGAAGACAAAGGAAGTAACCATAAATATCTGATTTTATTGGATTCTGGACTTGCATGAAGTTTTCTTATAAACTATCTACATCTCGGAAAAGGGTGAATTGGGAATTAACATCCCGTCCCCATCAACAAACCATAGTTTTGTAAAAGCTAGAAAGGAACTTAGACACCTAGCTTTCTTTCCTCACTTCACAGGTCAGGGAAGGAGTTGCCTGGGTTCCACAAATGGGCTCTAGCCAAGGTCTTTTTCTAAGTGGACCCACATGCCTCAGCTGCTGCAGATAGCACCAATGAGCTGAAAAGACACTATTCCACCAGTTGAGTGTGTATGCCTCTGAACAACTCTGCAACAACTTAGATTTCTAGCATGTCTCTGAGCTGGACAAAGACTCTTTTGTCCTAAGTCCTTTTCTGAATCATCCATACTTCCACAAGTCACTTTCAGAGGCAAGGGTGTCCCCATGTCCGCGACGTGTTCCTGGGTGCCACTCTCCCTCCTACAAGACCAGGAACCAGCAGCCCTCTCTCAGGTAGGAATAGGAAAGGTATTCTCCAATAGAGATGGGATAGGTCTAGAGCCACCTACCAACTCGGAGGACAAAGTCATTGTATGACTGGTAGTTGATTTCATCCAAGACGTCAAACATGTCAATAGCAAAGTCAGCCAGTGTGCTGAGGTGGGAGGAGATGGACTTCTTAGCCTAGGCATGAACAGATGAAAGCATTATGTTTGGAGGGTGCCATTACAGGAGGACACAGACCAGCTGCACCAGTCCTGGGTCTGTGATTTGATTCCTACATTAAAGCACAGCAGCCTTGGAAACTGTAGCTGCTTCTGGTATCTGGTTGAGGGCACATTTATCAGTCCTTCTTATGGGGTGGAGAGTAAGGCAGGGACAACACTGGCTCCCAAGGGACAGAGACAGGCGTCTCCTAAAACCATGCTAACCTGGTCATGCCCCTCTGTGGGCTGGTGAACCCTGGGATTGGGAGACCTCCTGCTCAAATTCCTACTAAGATAATGCTGTCATCACCCATTGCAAATGAGCAAAGCAAGGACAGAGGAACTATGTCAGGGAGCAGCACCAACCTCCTTCCTGTTGGGACGGGATGTGTGTGTGTGTGTGTGTGTGTGTGTGTGTGTGTGTGTGTGAAAGTCTTTCATGAAAGAGTAACGGTTGTAAGGTTTCTAATTTTTATTTTCTAAAGAAAATTTTATTAGCCCTCAACATCAGAGAACTAATGCCTTGAAAAAAAAAACAGCAGACTATTTTTCAGGACAGGTTTAGGTTTATAAATAAACTGAGTAGACTATATAAAGTTCTCATGTTCCCACCCTCCTCCACATGGAGTTCCCACCATTGCTAAAATCACGCATTCCTCTGTACACTTGTTACAACTGAAGAGCCAATACTGACATAAAATTATCACCCAAAGGTTACAGTTAACATTAGGGCTTATTCTTAGTGTTGGGTATTTTATGGGTTTTGACAAATGCATAACATACAGTGACACACATCTACCACCAGTGTCACACAAAATAGTTTCAATGCCTTAAAAATCTTCTGTGCCTAGTCATTTCTCCTTTTCCCCAAACCCCAACAAACACTAATCTTTTTATAGCCTCCATAATTTTCCCTTTTCTAGAATGTCATGTGATTGGAATCATACAGTAGGTAGGCTTTTTTTAATATTTATTTTCTGGACACAACACAATGCCTTTATTTTTATGTGGTGCTTAGGAGCGAACCCGGGTCCCGCCCGTGCTAGGCGAGCGCTCTATCACTGAGCCACAATCCCAGCTCCCAAGTAGGTAGGCTTTTCAGACTGGCTTCCTTTATATAGTAATTTGTATTTAAGGTTTCACCATGTCTCTTTATGACTTGAGAGCTCATTTCTTTTTATCACTTAATAATATTCAATTTTATGAATATATTAGAATTTGTTCACCCATTCATTAATTGAAGGGCTCACAGGTTTCGGTGATAATAAAGCTGCAATCAATAAAGCTGCACACATTTCTATTTCTGTGTGGACACAGTTTGCATCTCATTTTGATAAATATCAATGACTGCAATTGTCTAGACAGCATGGATAAGACTACGTTCAGCTTTGTAATAAGATTCTGCCAAACTGCCTTCACAGTGGCTGTACCATTTTTTTTCCCACCAACAATGGATGAGAGTTCCTGATGCCTACCATGGATCTTCTTTGGTAAACTGCCTGTTCAGATTCACTTTTTAACTAGGTTGTTTTCCTTCTATTATTGGATTTTAAGAAGTCTTTGTATATTTTAGATATAAACCCTTTATCAGGTAGTTTGCAAAGATTTTCTCCAAGCCTATGGCTTGACTTTTCATTTGCTTAATATATTTCATGGAGTAGGAGTTTTTAACTTTAATAAACCCCAAATTAAAATTCTTTTCTTTCATGGATCATGCTTTTGGTATTGTCTCTAAAAAGTCATCACCAAATCAGAAATCATTTTATAGTTTTGAATTTTATATTTAGGTTCATTACCTATTTGAGTTAATTTTTGTGATGAGTACAAGGTCTGCATTTATATTTTTTCTTCTTTTTAATGGATATCCAGTTGTTCTAGCATCATTTGTTAAGAGGACTATCATTTCTCTTCATTTGTCACAGATCAGTTGACTATATATATTTGTGTGGGTCTATTTCTAGGCTCTTTATTCTAATTCATTGATCTCTTTGTCTGTTCTTTCCCCAATACCATACTCTCTTGATTACTGTAGCTTTATTTTCAGTCTTGAAGCTGGACATTGTTAGTCCTCTAACTTTGTTCTTCCTCTTTAATATTGTGTTTGCTATGCTGGACCTTTTGTCTTTAATTATAAACTTGGGATCATTTTGTGAATATCATAAAATATCCTGGTGGAAATTTGATTAGTATTGTATTAAATCTATAGATCAAGTCAGAAGAACTGAAATCTTGATAATATTAATTCTTCCTGTGCAAAAACATGGAATATATTTCCACTTATTTAGATCGTTCTTGAATTCTTTTATCAGAGCTTTGTAGCTTCCTTCGTATAGATCTTGTATATATCTTGTTAGATTTATACCTAGCATTTTTTGGTGCTAATGTAAATGGTATAGTGTTTGTAATTTCCAATTCCAATTGTTCACTGCTGATATATAGGATAGTGATTAAATTTTATATATTAAACTTTATATCCTGCAATTTTGCTAGAATCACTTACTAGTTCCAGGATTTTTTTTATTGTTGATTTTTTTCAAATTTACTACACAAATAATCATGCTATCTGCAAACAAAGACAATTTTCTTTCTTCCCAATCTGCACGCCTTTCATTTTATTTTCTTGTCTTATTGCTTAGATAGGACTTTTGATACAATGTTGAAAAGGATTAGAGAGAGAGGAAATTCTTACTGTGCTCCTGATCTTAGGGTGAAAGTTCCTAATTGATATTAAGCTATAGGTTTTTTTTTTTGTTTTTTTTTTGTAGAGGATGTTTCTTTACATTCACAGTTTACCTAGTTTTTATTGGGAATGAGTGTTGGATATAGTTAAATGATTCTCCTACCTAGATTAATATGATGAAATAATTTTTCCTCTTTATCCTATTGATGTGATGAAGTTCACACAAGTTATAATGATGAACCTGTCTTATATATCTGGAATGAATCTAACTTGGTCTTAGTTCATAATTCTTTTCATTCATTACTGAATTCAATTTTCTACTGCATACTCATAACAAATACTAGTATATAGCTTTCCTTTCTTGTGTATTTTTGTCTGAATTTCTGATCAGGGTGATGCTGGCCTCATAGAATAAGTTAGCAGTGTTCTGTTTTTATCTTCTGGAAGAAACTGAAGATAATTGGTATCATTTTTTTTCTTTGAATGGTAGAATTTGCCAATTAATGCATCTGGGGGCTGTAGAGAACTTGCCCAGCATGTGCTTAGCCCTGGGTTCAATCCCCAGCACCACAAACTTATATACATACATAAAATTCTTCATGAAAAAAAAAAAAAACTATTACAATGAATGCATCTGGGCCTGCTGCTTTCTGTTTTGGAAGATGTTAATTATTGAATCAATTTATTTAATAGCTATAGATCTATTAGCCATATTTATTTTCATATTCACAGTTCTGCTTTGAGGAAGGAGAATACTCAGTGGTGCAGTGCTGGAAGGAAGAAGAGGGAGCAAGTAGGGATAAGAGGGTGGGTCAAAGCTAGAGAAGCCCTTGTGATCAACTTTCTGTGTGGATTTTCCCTAAGAGATCATGTCTGGAGTGAGCCAGCAACTTGACAAAATAAGCTGGGATCCACTTTCCTGATCCAATGAAGGGAAAAAGCAACCCCAGTGTGGGGACCTTCCCGGGGTCCCAGAGTCCTCTGAAGCAGGACTGGACCCAAGCCCAGGCACAACAGGGGCACTACTCACTCTGGTTCCTGCTGTGGGCGCCAGCCCCACTGCAGCCATGTAAGTGCTTCCAATGGTCTTGATCTTCTCTAGATCCTTATAAAAGTCTTTGTCCATGAGCTTTGTCAAAAACAAGACAGTTAAACATTATAGAACATTTGAGAGACATCATTGTAGTCATCAGCTATTGGGAGCAACTCGGGAGCTGACCAATACATTGTGCAGAGCAACCCAACCTCTTTCTTTTGGATGCCAGATAGGTTCTGGGACTGCATTTGAAAAAGGCAGCAAGGAGGAATGGTCAAGATCCATCCATGTCCCTGCAACTGAGCTCACAGTCACTGGGGGAAATGGGGTTTCTGGTGACGGCAGCAACAGGCAGACACAGTATCTGACTGGAGAAGGTACCTGGAGGTACCCAACTGTCTGCCCATCTACAGAGGAAGCTGCACAGCCCTGGTCACTGTAGATGTCAAGCTCTTGACAACTCAGTGGCCCCTGTCTCCCATCCTAGTGTAAACACCACGGGTTTTTTAATTGTCACAGCTGACCTGGACCCTAAAGGAGATGTGTATGCTTATTCCCTACACATCTAGAGAGCATGACATATTGGATTAGGTGCAGGGAAAACCAATCAGTAAGATGTAAGCAGACAATACAGCATGGCCTCACCTCATCAAAGTCAGCGATAATCTCGTTAAGGAGTCGCAGACACTCCACTCCCATGTTGTTGCCATCCAGCTCGATGTAGAAGTCATTGAAGTTGGGGATAGAGGCAAACATGACACCCACCTGGGAGTAGGACTGGTAGTAGAGGTCCTGCAAGAACAGAAGGGTCAACTTGCCAGGCAGGGGTAGACAGAGCAGCACTTGGGCTAGGGACAATCCAGGCTGCATGGGCTCAGCCTGTTTTACAGACAGGGGGATAGGTTCCAGGGGTTTAAGGTCATGTGACTCATACCTCAGGGAAGACCCCTATGTCCCATCTTCTCTTGGAGGCCAGGAAGATGAAGAGGCCATAGGAAAAGACAGAATTTTAGGAAAGCCTTGCACTGCATGGCTGCAAAACTCAGCCAGATGAACAATTAGCACCTGGAGCGACTTCAGGCCAAAGAAGATCAAAGCTGAAACTTGGGGTTTCATTTCTGCCTTTAGGACCTTAAAAGACCAATCCACATTTCTTCATTTTTAAATCTGGCCTTTTAAAGCACCTGGCTTCTACTATATTAGTGTTCTAACTCATTGCTATAGCAGTTACGGCCGTTAGAAGTTCTGAACAACCCCAATACACTAAGCAAAGGAAGGGAAAAAAGAGTCTTCAGAGGTTTCAAGCATATGTAACAAAACAAAGCACTCCATGGCCAGGCATGCTCTATTTTTTTAAGGTATGTATTGGCCAAAAAATTATCTATAAGGTAATTTGAAATTTTTAAGTCTTGAGAAACCACATCTGAGATTTACTAAAGCCTATTTTCCTTGCCTTGGATGGAATAATAATAAATACTATGTTCTTTCCCATGATTCAAAGGGGAGAAGAAAACTAAATCAAACACTCCTGTCAAATGGGGCCCCAGGAGCTTCCTGATGACCCAGCACTGGCCCTGCCCTCAGGCACAGGCCAGGTGGCCCAGTGAGAAGCTGAGTCTGCTAAATCACAACACCCTTCATCTAGGGAGGCCTCCAGTTAAAACAAAGAAAAGAGGGTGGGTCCAAACCAGATCTGCACCTGAATATCAGGATCCCCTGACACCTCAGAAGATCCCAGAAGACTTCAGTAGGGGCACAGGATGTGGTAACCATATAGCAAGGTGCTCACCATATTCCGGGGATTGGACATGAGGAAGTGCTGTGCAACGTGGGCTGGAAGGAGGTTAAAGAGGATCCTCTTGTTGTCCAGCTTTACCCTCTCCATATCATCCCGCTCCTCTTCTGCCTGAGGGGCATGGAGATCATGAGAATCAGTCATTCACCTGCCCTTACCTGCCCACTGCAGCTTCTCTCTGATCATCCACACTGGACTCTGTGTGAATGAACAGTCCACACTAGGGCTTTCCCTTCCCTCCCACCAGACACAGGGACCAGAGTCAGATTACAGAACTGGGGAATTCACAGTTGTATGCATAAATCACCTCCCCTACCACTGTAACTTTCAAAGGACTGACAATGGCTCTCCTCACTTTCAGGTCTGCCCCATCCCCAGCCACTTCCTGGGAACCAGATACTTTGCACCAGCTCCAGGCATCCACCCAGGTCTGTTTGCCCAGTATCAGGCAGTGGATACTTCCCTAAGCCACCCAAGCCACCCTCTAGAACTTCTCTGTCTTCCTTCATGAGAGCTCATATCCCTCTGATATTGAGACAAGAATGCTGTGGGATGTCGGCTCTCATTTGGAGGCAAACCAATAGGCTCATCTCAGACTTCCCAACTCAGACCCCCAAATCAAGGAGGCCCTGGAATGAGGTATTCGAAACTCTAAAAGAAAACAACTACCAGCCAAGATTGCTGTCTCCAGAAAGGCTACATTTCAAATTCAATGAAGAATTAAAAACTTCCCATGACATGGATAAACTAAAAGAACTCATGACCTCTAAGTCAGTTCTACAAAGAATACTCAAGACATACTGCAAATGGAGGAAACCAAAAGCAAACCCAAAGCTCCCAAAGAGATTAAGATCACTAGAAGAGCAGCCAATTGATTGAAAATTAAGACAGTTAAATATAGCAAAAACCAAAACGGCAGAAAAATAAAAACATATGCACATAATAACACTGAATGTAAATGATCTCAACTCCCCAATTAAAACACATAGATTAGCAGAATGGATCAAAAAACAAGATCCAACTACTTGCAGTGTGCCAGAGACTGATCTCATGGGCAAAGACCTCACAGGCTGAAAGTAGAATGATGGAAAAAAATATTCCATGCAAATGAAATCTGAAAACAAGCAGGTGTAGTTATTCTCATAACTGACAAGCAGATTCTAAGCAAAAGTTAACCAGATAAGACAAAGAAGGCCATTATGGACTGGTAACAGGAGCTATCCAACAAGAAGATATAACAATAGTGAATATATATAACCCAATTAGTGCACCTAGTTTTATATATATATATATATATATATATATATATATATATATATATATATATACACACACATATATATACACACACACACATACATACTCTTGATGTTCAAATTACCTTATAGATTTACATATGTGTATGTGTGTGTGTGTGTGTGTGTATATATATACACACACACATACATATTTCCTCTTGATGGTCAATCCCAGATAGAACTCAATACAAAACTACTGGGGGCTTTCAACACATTCTTATCACCAATGGGCCATTCAAGGAAGATATTTATGATATTAATATAAGTCAAATGGATCTAGTAGACATCTACAGAATATTTCACCCCCAAACAGCTGAATTTACTTTCTTCTCAGTAGCTCATGAAACTTTTTCCAAAATAGACCATGTTGTATGTTAATAAATACAAAATAACTTGTACAATCCTGTGCAACCTATCAGATAATAATGGAATGAAACCAGAAGTTAATGGCAAGAAAAACATTGGAAACCATATAAACACATGGAGATTGAATAATACTCTGTTAAATGAAGAATGGATCAAAGAAGAAATGAGACTAGAAATAAAAAATTCTTAGAAATGAACATGAACAGAGATACAACATATAAAAATCTATGGGATAGGATGAAAGCAGTTCAAAGAGGGAAATTTATAGCATTGACTGCCCGCATTAAAAAATAGAGAGATCCCAAATAAATAAGCTTATGCTACCACTCAAGGCCTTAGGGGGAAAAAAAACTAATTCCAAAATCAGTAGAAGACAGGAAATAATTAAAATCAGATCCAAAATTAATGAAATAGAGAATAAAAAATACACAGGATCAGTGCAGCAAAGAGTTGGTTCTTCTAAAAGATAAGTAGTATTGGTAACTCTTAGCCAAACTAACCAAAAGAAAGCAAGAGAAAACCCAAATAACCGAAATGAGATGAAAAAGGACATATCGCCACACACCCCCTGAAATCCAGAAGATTATCAGAACTTATTTTGAAAATTTATACTCCAATAAACTGGAAAATGTAGATGACACTGACAAATTTCTAGACATAAATGACCTGCCCAAATTTAATCAGGAAGATATAGAAAACCTACACAGACCAATATCAAGTAATGAACTTGAAACAGTAACTGAAAGTCTTCCCAAAAAGAAAAGTCCAAGATCAGATAGATTCTCAGTTGCATTACACCAGACCTTTAAAGAAGAACTAACACCAGTCTTTCTCAAATCATTCCATGAAATTGAAAGGGAGGGAACACTCCCAAATACATTCCATGAAGCCAGTAAACCCTGATACCAAAACCCAAGACTCATCAAGGAACAACAAAAAAACAAACAAACAAACAACAACAAAAAAAACTAAATGCCAATGCCCCTAAAGAACATATGTGCAAAAAATCCTTAATAAAATATTAGCAAATGCCTTTCAAAAGCACATCAAAAAGATAATACACTACGATCAATGGATTTTGTTACAGGGACGCAATGTTGCTAGACATACATGAATCCATAAATGTAATTCACCACATAAACAGAATTAAGGATACAAATCACATGATCAGAATAGGCCTTTGATAAAATGCAGCACCCATTCATGATAAAAATGCTAAAGAAGATCAAAGGTACTTACCTCAACATCATAAAGGCCATTTATGACAAGCCTTTGGGCTTGTCAACATCATACAAGATGGAAAAAAAAACTAAAAGCATTTCCTCTACAATCATAAACAAGACACTCTCACCACCACTCCTATTCAATATAGTCCTCTAAACATCAGCCAAAGTGATCATGCAATAAAGGGAAATCCAAGGAATACAAATAGGAAAAGAAGAAGTCAATTTTTATCTGTTTGCTGATGACATGATCCTATATATATATGAATCAAGTAACTGCATAGTAGAATACAAGATCAACATTCATAAATAAATAGCTTTCCTGCATTACAACTGTGATCCTGCTGAGAAAGGAAAACTATCCTATTTATAATGACCTGGAAAAACTAAAATACTTGGGAATTAATCTAGAAAAAAAAACAGATCAAGAAAAAAACAGCCCTTACATTCATCATCCATTTGGAAGAATAAGAGACTCAGAATAGCCAAAGAAATCCTGAGCAAGAGGAGTGATGCAGGAGACATCACAGTACCTGATCTTAAATGATAGTACAGAGCTATTGTAACAAAACCAGCATGGTATTGGCATCAAAATAGACATAAATACCAATGGACTAGAAGATAGAAATAAACCCACATATTTACAGTCCTCTGATACTTGAAAAAAGTGCCAAAAGTACACGTTGGATAAAAGATAGTCTTTTAAACAAATGGTGCTGGAAAAACTGGATATTCACATGTAGACGAATGAAATTAGATCTGTATCTCTCACCCTGCACAAAGTCAAACCAAAGTGGATCAAAGACATAGGAATTAGAACAGAAACTTTTCAACTACTAGAAGAAAACAAAGGGTCAATACTCTATCATACAGGTGCAGGCACCAATTTCCTTAAAAAGACCCCTAAAGCTGAAGAAATAAAGATAAGAATAAGTGGGATGCCATCAAAATAAAAACCTTCTGCATAGCAAAGAAAATGATTAAGAGCATGAAGAGAGAGCCTACAGAATAACAGAAAATGTTTGCTAGACACTTCTCTGATCCAGAATAAATAAAGAACTCAAAAAGCTTAGTATCACAAAACAAATGACCCAATTAATAAATGGGCAAAAGAACTATATAGAATTTGTCCTAAAAAGAAACACAAATAGCCAACAAATATATGAAAAATTATTTAACAACCCTAGAAATCTGGGAAATGCAAGTCAAAACTACACTAAGATTTCATCTCACTCTAGTTGAAGTGAAAATTATCAATAATACAAATAATAATAAATGCTGGTGAGAATGTAAGATACACTCATATATATAGGACTGCAAATTAGTGCAACCACTCTCGAACACAGTATGGAGATTCCTCAAAAAACTAGGAGTGGAACCACCATATGGACCTGCTATCCCCACTCTTTGATATTTATCCAAAATAATTAAAATCATTATTCTACAGTGATACAGCTAGGTCAATATTTATAGCAGCACAATTCACAATAACCAAGTTATGGAACCAGCCCAGGTGCTCACCAGTAGATGAATGGATTAAGAAAATATAAGGTATATACACCATGGAGTTTTACTCTGTCATAAAGAAGAATGAGATTATGGCATTTACCTCTAAGTGGATAGAAATGGAAAACATCACACTAAATGAAATAAGCCAGATTCAGAAAATCAAGGGTCAAATGTTTGCTCTCATATATAAAAGTTAGAGCAAAACAAGGGGGGGAAAGAGGTGGGGGATTGGATTTCATAAAGCTATAGGGAAGATTAGTGCAGTAGAAGAAGATTGAGAAGGAGGGAAGAGGGACAACAAAGGGGAGGAAATACAGAATAAGTTTAACAAAATCACACTACATGCATGTATATATACAACACAAGAAATTCCACCTTTATGTATATGTAAAAAGCACCCATCAAAAATATACAAATAAACAAGTGGAAGTAAGATAAGAAGCACAGAGGAAGGAGAAAAGTAGGATGAAGAAGGGGAGGGAAAGGTGGTGGCAGGGAACAGGAACTGAAATGGGTAAATCAAATTCCATGCATGTATGATTTTGTCAAAATGAACCCAATTACTATGTGTAACTATAATGCTCTAAGAGAGAGAGAGAGACAGAGAGAGAGAGAGAGATTTCTGTGGGGACCTGGTGGGGTGGATCTAGAGCTCTGGCCAGTAATAAGCACCATCTCCTAGAACAGGAAACCAGAGGCTCTGATGTGAACAGCA